TTAAAATAATTGTAGTTGTATAAGTATCTGTCATTTAAATGCATAACATTTACTTGAAGAATTTATACACGCCTTCTGTCTGCTTGTACGAATGTTGCAGATCCGGTGGCGTGCATCTTGATATTGACTCCCCCTTTCTCATTCACCAGGGGAAAGATCTTTCTGGACTTTGGAGTCAATGACTACTGATTTGGGGAGAACTCCTTTTTGCATGTTCAGTGTAGCAGACTTGTTATTTCCGGTATTTGTGGGTACAAGAGTTGTTTTCTTTTTAAATATAGAACTAAGAAGAGACTTTGGAACACTAGGATGTTTGGTTCTAATTTCTTCAAATATTTCCCTCTTTCTGCCAGGGGGTGTCCTTTTCATACATAGAGTCGCCCTTGTACTCAACGCACTTGTAGATCTTGGTTACCGTCGTTATAGGTAATATCCGTACTTGTGTCCACAGTGATTCATTGTACTTACAATACACCCACTGTTGTTATCCACAAGTATCCATTTGCAGGGGACCGCTGTATCCACTACGACCTCCCGAAAATGTTTGTAGAAGACCCATTGCTTCTGCATCATATCCATCCTTTCACCAATCTTGGGTGGTTGTTGTACTTGTTTGACCTCGTAGGGATCATCATAGGGGATACTTGTACTTGTGCCCACAGTGGTTCGATATGCTTAGATATACCCACTGTTGTTATCCACAAGTAGCTCGTATTTATTTGTAAGGATCCGTCGAGTTTGCTATGAATTCCTAGGAATGTTTATAGGAGACCCTCGTTTCTTGCATCACATCCACCTTTCATCAATCTCAGGTGGTTGATGGTTGAATTTGTTTGTAGAGGATAGATCTTTGATTGCTGGTCTCCAGTATTGTCATCTCAATCAACAGGCATATGTACGGATTGTTATGGGAGTTCGTGCATCGAGGTCGTGTAGTTTGAGTTTTCCTCATGTGTGATCCAAGTTTCGACCTTGCATGTGATGGGTCCAAGTTCAATTTCATTCAAACTTGAATCCATCAAGTTTACAAATCCCCACTTGATGTCATATAGCCCGGGTTCAAATACGAGCTCAAAGCACATGTTCAAATTGACTGTTCATAGTCCTCTGAAGTTCTTAGAAAGTTCATTTGAATGTTCAAGTTGACTTGAGCTTGGTTCAAGTATGATTTTATTTCATTCGAGTTTGACCTTTAGAAATCATTTAAATTTTGTTCAGGTTCAAATCAACAAGTCCTCTGCTCATTTAGTTCAATTTATGTGCATTTATGTTCAAGTACAGGTCTTCTATATTGTTGCCCAAGAAGGTTTTCAAATTGTTCAAGTCTTTGTACATTTCAGTGAAAATTTCGGTAGTACCCCGGCATATCCCATGTTTGGGGGAAAATAGGGGAGCTAGGCAATTTTGTTCAGGTTCAAATCAATAAGTCCTCTGCTCATTTAGTTCAATTTCTATGCATTTATGTTCAAGTACAGGTCTTCTATATTATTGCCCAAGAAGGTTTTCAAATTGTTCAAGTCTTTGTACATTTCAGAGAAAATTTAGGTAGTACCCTGGCATATCCCCCGTTTGGGGGAAAATAGGGGAGCTGGGCCTTCCCACCATGCTACTAGAGCGTGTATGATAGGTGTCCTTAGACACCGCTGCCGTAGTAATTTTCATCCCACCACGCTACAAGAGCGTGTATGGGGCCTTCAGCAGTACCCGTACCAGAACAGCAGTGACGTACCAGAACAGCATTGGCTCTCCACCACACTACAAGAGTGTGTATAGGGCTTACCCACCTTGTCGTATACTTCGCACTGAGCTCCCTTCTACCGTGCTACAAGAGCGCGTATAGTTGGTTCCCCGGTCCACTGCTAACGTCGAGAATGGGATTTTGGAACTTCATACCTTTGCGTAGCAGTCGTCGGCGGTGTCGGTGTCGAGGTCGAGGACATCCCCACCATGCTACAAGAGCGTGTATAGGGCTTACCCGCCTCGTCGTATGCTTCGCACCGGGCTCCCACCTACTGTGCTACAAGAGCGCGTATAGGTGGTTCCCCGATCTGCTGCAGAACTAAATATAATTAATTATAATTAATTAAAAATAATAATAGTAATTAATCAAAATTAATTAAAATTAATTTTAATTAAAAAAAACTAAATAACTTCTCTCCCTCTACCTCTCTGTTCGGCGAAGTTACGGGATTTGGCCGGATTCATGCTAAATCCAGCCAACGGTTTCGGTGCATGCGTTAAATCCCGGTGATGGTTAAATCCCGGATTAAGGATTTAAGGCTTAAATCCCGTATTTACTAAATCCCTTAGTTCGGTGGATTTCGGGATTTGGGTGAAGAAGAACGCAAAGGGAGAAAGTTACCCTCACAGCCGGCAGCTCCCATTCTTGCACCCGATCAAAATGTCGCAACTTCCGATCTTCACAGCATGCGGAGCTCCTGTCCGCTTCCGATCAAAGTGTTCTAACTTCCGATACAACGGGGAGGGATAGTTGTCGAAGGAGGAGGTCGCACAGCCACGGAGGACCGAAGAAGCATGCGAATGGGAGGGAGTAACCTCACAGCCGGTGAGCTCTGTTCTTTCGCCCGATCAAAATGTCGTAACCTTCGATCCGATCTGGAAGGGAACTCGTCGGGAGAGAGAGTGAGAGCGAGAGAGAAAATGGAGTGAAGGAATGAGAGAAAGAGAGCGGGAGAGCCAGCGATCGGGGAGAGGTTTCTGCCTCTTTTTCTTTTCATTTTAACGACACAGGGTCGTGCGAGGTCATGGAGAAATGACGCGATCGCTAGATTTACGGGATTTTAGCGGCGACGATGTGCGGGCAAGTACGATTCTTTTATTTGATTTTTTTTATACAATTATGGGTCAACAAATGCCCCCCAACAAATGTGGTAGGCGTCTAGAGCGAACCACATTTGTTGTATGCTGATTGACCCTGTGGATCTCTAGATATTTATTCTAGATGTCACACTAAAATTTCCATTTAATGGATCTCCAAAAGTTATTTGGATGTCACACAACTCTCTTTTAGTGGATCTCCAAAATTTTGTTAGATTGTCACACTAATCTTCCTTTTCTCTTAGTGGATCTCCAAAAGTTATTTGAATGTCACATTAATCTTTCTTTCTCCACTTGCTCTTCTAGATATATCCACATATGGTTGATATCCTATCTTTATGGATTGATGCTAGTGGATAGCATATCTTTAATATTGCTCAATCATCTGGTTGTATCTTGATAGAATTTTAAATATTTATTTGGGGATCTCGGCATGCAGTGTGATGTCGATCCAAATAAATATTTAAAATGACCCCAATCTTTAGGGACATTTGTAGATGTCATTCAGGAAACTCATTCTGCAACTTTAGCTAGAGTCCTGAGATTTTGATCCTTCTATCATGTGCTTTGTGCTGCAGACTTGGTGAAGGGTTGTCTGATTTGTCTTTTATAACTTGTCAGAATTTTTGTACGCCTTCTGCCCTTTGTTTCTAGCTTTGGCGGGCTTGATGAAGGGATAGACGTTGGTGACCTAAACCGTTGGGTTTGTATTAGGTCGATGGCGAAAAGTCATCGGTCCAGAGCTTTGTGCATAACGGACTTGTTGATGACGAAATCTACTTAGTTCAGCCTTAGGCTTTTCATGAACTTTAGGAAGGTTTTCTTTGGTCCTTTGCTTTGTGCTTTGACGGATTTGTCGAAGAAGAATTCCTTCGATCCTGGCTTTGTGCTTTACGGATTTGCTGAAGGATTTACAGGTTTTGAATTCAGTTGATAGTACCGAATGTAGGTAGTATCTTGATCCTTAACCACTTGAGAAGACTTTAATCTGAATCACTTGAGTTCATCAGATTAGAAGAGCTGGGATTTGACAGCTCTTCGTCCTCTAGTTGCTTGGATGGGGGTTCCTCTACTGCGGCCTTTCTTATGGCTTATTGAGTAGACGGAGCTACCAGCGATCCGGCCATAATTGGACTTGTTGGATCCGACCTTTTACACCCATTCAGACTTCAGACATGAGCTATGGAAATTGCGCTTCCCAATGCTGATTTTATTGAAGTTAACCGATTTTGAGTCATCCTTTGTGGTTTCAGATTTTGGAGCCTACGCATATTTGATAGTTGTTCGAGACTTCTCCTTCAACTGGAACTTTGATTCTCCAGTCATTTAGAGAAATTCAATAGCCTACGGTCACTTGAACTTGTTGAGTCAAATTTGTCTTCGCACTTCCTACAGTCCTTACTGACAAGTTGACGAAGTGGGGGTTCCACTACTATGGCCTTTCTTGTGGCTTATTGAGTAGACGGAGCTGCCAGCAATCCGGCCATATTTGGGCTTGTTGGATCCGACCTTTTTCACCCATTCGAACCTTAAGCTTCAGGCTGTCGAAAGACTTCAAGCTTTTCTGACTCAATTTGTAGGAGTGTGTAGTTACAAAAGTCTCTTTCTTGACTTTTGAGTCTTGATTTGTTAGAGAAGGTGTCTCTAACTTTTGATAGATCACCTACATATACTTTGAAAAACAAATCTTTATATTCTTTAGCACAAAAGAATATTTGAACTGATAATTTTAAATATTTATTCAGGGATCTCGGCATGAGGCACGATGTCGACCCGAATAAATATTTAAAATGCCCCCTGTCTCACAGGGACATTTTAGAGCAGAATAGAATTGAAATCTTAAAATTTTAAATATTTATTCGAGGATCTCGGCACGCGGCGCGATGTCGACCTGAACAAATATTTAAAATGCCCCCAGTCTAACAGGAGGATTTTGAAATGTATTCTCATAACATAAGAGAATTTCAAAATACAAAATGTACATGCTTATAAAATTTATACAAAAACATAACTCATTAAGCATAACATTTTTTTTGGCGATTTCATGCAGAGTATTTCTTCAAATATCGACCATTGATCGGCGGCATGAGCCTCTAACCATTCAGATCAATGAGTTGATAAGCTCCTCCATGAAATACCTTATCGATGATGAAAGATCCTTCCTAGTTGGAAACAAATTTGCCACCAATTTTTGGGTGTGGGATGATTGGCCTTCTCTGCACCATGACCAATTCTCCTTCTTGAAATGATCGAGGACGAACCATTCGATCAAAGGACTTTGTCATTCTTGCTCGGTAGATCTCAAGGTTCTGCTGAGCTTGCAACCTGATTTTATCGAGTGCATCGAGCTCTTCCATTCTCAAACGAGCATTTTGTTCCTGAGTCAGCTCATTCTGGACAGCAACTCGAAGAGATGGAAGTTCAACTTCTAGTAGCAGTACAGCTTCAACTCCGAACATTAGAGAGTAAGGAGTGGCTTTGGTTGGTGTTTTGTAGGTCGTACGATATGCCCACAATGCCTCTGTCATCTTCGTATGCCACTCTCTTTTGTTTTTAGAGAGAATCTTCTTTAGCAATTTCACCAATATTTTGTTGAAGGCTTCAGCTAAACCATTTGCTCTTGGATAGTAAATGGAAGAGCACCGCCAATCAATTTTGTTCCGATCAACGAACTTATAGATTTTGGTACTCTTGAAAGCAGTTCCGTTGTCTGAGATTATGCGGCGTGGCACACTGAATCTGTAAACAACATTGTGAGTGAAGAAGTTGATCACGTGCTCAGATGTAATTTCTTTGAATAGAGCCGCTTCTGCCCACTTTGAGAAGTAGTTAGTTGTTGCCAAGATAAAGCGGTGTCCTGCCGATGAGGGCGAATCTATTGGCCCGATAACATTAGTACCCCAACATTCGAATGGCCAGGATGCTATTGTAAGGTGTAGCAGATTTGGCGGTTGATGTATAACATCACCGTTGATCTAGCACTCATGGCACCTCTTAGCATGATTGATAGAATCTCTGACCATGGTCGGCCAATAGTAGCCCATTCTTTTGATTTTGACTGTCATCTTGGGACCTGATTGACGCACTCCACAAAGTCCTTCCTGAACCTGCGCTACCACTTTATCAGCTTCTCGAGTCCCTAGGCATCTTAGCCACATTTGATCGAAAGCACGTCGATACAATGTGTTGTTGACAAATGTATATCTTAATGCTCTCTTTCTGATTTGAGTAGCTAATGATTTGTCTGTTGGTAGTCTTCCTTCCTTGAAGTAATCAATGAAAGGTTGCCTCCAATCATCTTCTTCCTCGACATCTAGGCAATGCTTGCATGATTCGAAAGCTTGACTGGCCTTGTGTCTTTTCTTAGGAACTTGATGTTCTTCAACTTGATCTTCGAGATCAACTGGTTGGGGAGATTGAGGATCAACCGGAGTTGCATCCTGCTGGCTTGAATTTGGTATTCCCTCTGCTTGCGGGAATTATAGTAATGCTGGCTCTAGGATCCGTCGATTGTGCACCATAATTATTATAGGCCATTCGTCGTCCATATTCGCTATTTCTTTAGCCAATTTGGCAAGAGAATCGGCTTTGGTATTTTGACCTCGGGGAACTTGAGTTAGTTTGACAACTGTAATTTGATTCATAAGCTCAAGAACTTGTAGATGATAACAGGCCAACTCAAACTCGGTGATTTTGTAAACTCCCAGCACTTGATTTACAACAAGTTGAGAATCACCGAAGATTTGGAGATTTTGAATTCGTACATCGATTGTAATCTCTAATCCTGTTATTAGGGCTTCATATCCGGCTTCATTATTTGTCCGAGGTTCAGTTAAATTGAATGAGAATCTCATTATGCCTCCCTCGGGCGCCACGAAAATTAGTCCGATTCCGGCTTGAGCTTTCTCTGGATTTGGAGGCCGAGCAACCTTGATTGAGGATGCTCCATCAAAATATATTTCCCATACTCGTAGCATCTCCTCTTCTTCAACATTCATGATCTGCTCGTCATGTAGATCATCGTTGACCGGAGAATCTGCAGGGATAGGATGTGCAGCGAGAAAATCTGTCAACACCTGCCCTTTCACTGCCTTTTGAGGGAAATATGTGATATCAAACTGCAGGAGTATCACTGCCCACCTTGCCAAACGACCTGTCAACGCTGGACTTGTCATCAAGAACTTCAACGAATCGATCTTTGATATCAAGGTGATTTTGTGAGATATCATATAATGGCGGAGCTCCTGAACTACAAAAATCGGAGCCAAATAATGCTTCTCGATTGGAGAGTAGCAGATTTCTGCTCCTATCAACCTACGACTGATGTAGTACAGTGCATTCTCCTTGTCTTCTTCATTATGCTGGGCCAATAGTGCTCCGAGGGATTCTTCTAGTGCTGCCGTGTATAGTATAAGAGGTTTTCCGGGGATTGGCGCCGCAAGAATGGGTGGATTCAACAGATATCTTTTGATACTGCCAAATGCTTCTTGGCACTCTTCGTCCCATTTGAAATGGACATCATTTGAAACGGACATCTTTCTTCATTAGTTTTGAAAACGGCTGGCACCTACCCGATAGATTTGATATGAATCTTCGAATGAAAGCCAGTTGCCCTTGTAAGGAGCAGAGTTGTCGAAGGCTCTTTGGAGGTGGCATCATCATGATTGCCTTGATCTTATTTGGGTCGACTTCAATGCCTCGATGTCGAACAACGTACCCTAGGAATTTTCCTGAGGATACTCCAAATGCACACTTGAGAAGGTTCATCTTTTGATCATATTTTCTGATTCTTTCAAACACTATTCTCAAGTCATCTAGATGGTCTTTTCGATCTATGCTCTTAATGACCAAGTCATCTACATAGAATTCGACCTTTTGATGGATCAAATCATCAAATATACGAGTCATCGCCCGTTGGTAAGTGACACAAGCATTCTTCAGGCCAAAGGGCATGACTGTGTAGCAGAATATGCCTATAGGCATTCTGAATGATTTATGTCTTTCATCTTCATGCTCCATTTTAATCTGATTGTAGCCTGATGATCCATCCATGAAAGAGAACATATCGTAGTTGGATGTATTGTCAACTAGAAGCTCTGATACTGGGAGTGAAAAGTCATCTTTCGGGCATGCCTTATTGAGGTCCCTGAAGTCGATGCAGATATGAATCTGGCCATTCTTCTTCTTTACAGGGACGATATTGGCAATCCAGTCGGCATATTTTTCTGCAATCACCTGTTCTTCAATCTCCAATCTCATTCTTCTTGGAGCTTGCTTGACAGGTATTGCATCAGGCTTGATTCCTAATCTGTGAACTGCCACATCAGGGGATAAGCTAGGCATCTCAGCATATGTCCAGGCAAGATAGTCCCTAAATTCACAGAGGAGCTCTTTTATCTCTTCTATTTGTTCTTTGGGTATGAGAGAGCTAATGAAGGTTGGACGAGGGTCTTCCTCAGTTTCCAAGTTGACTTCTTTTAGCTCGTCCATCGTAGCGGCCTGTCCACCATCTTACAGTTCTTCTGGTACAGGCTTGGCTTCCACGGGTTGATCATCATGAGCATCAGCTTCATAAATCTCATCTTCATCATTATCAGATTTGATTTCCTCACAAGTAACTATTCGACAAGTCTCCTTTCGGAGAAATTTTCATTTGATGAACTCGATGCCTTTATATGCATCTATATCCTTTCGTCGTAATGAACGCGGATTCCTTCCATACCAGAGGCCCAAGCTTGTACGAAGTTGTCGTTTGGTAGTAGAAATATTGATTTGCTTTCGTAGCATTCTTTGAATATTCTTGGTATTGAACTTGGGTAGTCTCGTAGGAAATAATTCCTCAGAGTCGAGGAGCATGCATGATTCTCCTCTTCACAAACTCCTGTAAAATATAGCACATTCTTTGGCACAGTCCCATTTTCACGGGGAGGCAGATAATGAGTGGAGAGTTCTTCAATCTTATGCACCTCACGTGAAATGATTTCCTTGAAATGTTGCAAGGGAACACGTGTGACTACGAGTACGCTGTCTAAAATTGACATACTGTCTATTCTTCTAGAGAACACACTCAGCACTGAGTTCATGTAGATTGAGTCGTAGTCATAATCATCATTTGAAAATTCAACCTTCCTACTCCATTCATCCGTGGACTGGCATACTTTTTTAGATTTGGCAGGAGTAACATCATCTTCATCCGTATCACTCCCAAGACGAGGTACATGTTTCTTTTCTTTAGGAATGATTGATGCTTTAGGAAGAGTTGGCATCGCTTTCTTTCTTCCTACACGCTTCTTCTCACCTTCTTGCTTAGGTTTCTTTGCAGCCTTAGAATTTGATGCTCTAGCCTCAAGAGAACTTGACATCTTTTGCTTTTTTGGCATGAAGTACTTAGCATATTCATAAACTGTTACTTCATGTACTGCAAAGGGCTGAATATCACCAGAAATTCTGAATTCTTCTCCTTCTCAGAGATACTTCATATACTGGTGTAATGTCTTAGGGACAACGCCATATTCGTGCAACCAGGGGCGACCTAGTAGCACCTTAAATGAGGTGTCCGTATCAATCACATGAAATTTGGCTTCTGTATGGAGTTCCCCAAATATAAGAGGGAGCATAAATGATCCAAGGATTTTCTGCCCTTTCTTATTGAAGCCGTGTACCATCAACTTGTATTGGCCAAGATTCTCTACGTCGAGACAGAGGGATCTCAAAGCTTTCAAGCTCATGAGATTTACGGAAGATCCATGATCGATCAAAATTCGACTGATCATCATACCGTCGCTCTCTGCCGTAACATATAGAGGGCGATTGTGATCTGCCGTTCCAAGCATCATATCATCCTCGACAAAGATGATAAGGGGCTCATTTCGAGCTTGCAAGACTTCCGTCAAGTTACGCTCAGCAAAATATGCTTCATATCTTTCTGGATCCTTGAGAGCTTGAATCAAAGTCTCGAAGGTCTTTAGACATCAAAAGAGTATCATATATGCTGAGTTACGCTGGGATCTTTCTCAAATGGGACAAGATATTGTAATCTATCCCCTTGGACAAAGTATTATTTTTTTAGGATTTTCGGGAATAATATCTTCATTGATAAATATCTCTTTTCCCTTATCTTTATCAGGGATCCTTTTCTTTGGTGGAGGCGGCAGTACCTTACCACTTCTCAATTGTACTTGGGCCACCTCATCTGATTCAGACTTATTTGATGAAGCCTTCTCTTCAGAGTCTGCCATTATTGTGTTTGGGGATTCATCTGTAGACTCGAAATCATCTCCCAACTTCACTTGTTTCATTTGCGATTCTATGCTTGGGTCTGAATCTTCATCATCTGGAAAGCATAGATCATCTGAACTGAATTCCATTGATGATACCATTAGACAGAACTCAGGGGCCGCTTCTTCAGCGTATTTCTCCCTATCTGATATCTCTGATGTCGTAAAGATGACTCGGCATATTTCTATAGGAAGAGATTCAGCCTCAGCTTCTTCTTCCTTTTTATCTATTTTAAGCTCTTTCATAAAATCGTCGAGCTTAATAGGCCTCCTGGTAGTCTGGTAATATTCACCCAGACTATCAATTGCCTTTTGAGTTGCACTTTTCTTTGCCTCAGACTTCTTCAACTTGGCTTTCTTTTTGGAAGACTTTGGCTTTGCTTTGTCAGACTTTGAAGAGCTAGCTTGGCCAGGTTACTGTTTAGAGGTGGGTGCTTGTGACACAGGCAACCATTTTAAATTCAGTACTGGCTCAGTAGGAGATTTCCACTTGACACAAGGAACTCCTAATTATTTCAGCATTTTCGTTGTCTTTTTGGAGACCACGGTCTCCCATTGCTCATCTTGAATAGGTTCTTTCATTGTTTCTCTATGTGAGAGTATGAAAGAGGATGTCACTACCCGGGTGGATTCCTTTTTAGGACGAACTAACACATTATCTGATAATGTTAATTCTCCCATTTTATATTTCTTCTCTAGCTAATCTTTGAAGACATAACAATCCTCAATTGGATGGCTAATTACTCGATGATATGGGCAGTAGTTTGGGTAGCCACTGTGTTTAGACTCTTCAGGTCTTTTGCATTCTGGCAACTCCAGACCATTCTTGAGTGCTTGTCGGGACAATTTAGCGACACTCTCCCTCTTAAATGAATATTCTATATTCATTTTCTCTTTGAGGGAAGGGAATGTTCTATCACCAGCTCCTGTAGTTTGTCTTTGACGCTCTCCTCCACCAGGAAAGGTTCGAGGTTTGTCATTTCATTTCAAGAACTAGTTTTGGCTGAGGATTTGGATTGTAAGCCTGTTTTGATTTTTCTTCATACTTCATAGGCTGCTTTCCTTTATCCACATTATATACTGTCCTTTTACTTTTATCAGGTCTAGGAGGGAATACAGAGTAAACATCATTTCTCCTAGCATCAGGTGCCTTAGCCCTTTTAAGTTTGTCAGGGAGGCTTTCAGATTTTGATAAGTTCAATTTTTCAAATTTTGACATCCTATCCAAAAGATCTTGGAAGGTAGTGATTGAAGCCATGCACAGGAAGGGTTGCATTTTATCATCAATGTTCCCCATCAACAATTGGACTGCATGCTCTTCTTCCAGCTGATGCTCGCACTTCATGCTGAGATTGCGCCAGCGTGTTATGTACCTCGTTACTGATTCATCCTTTCTCCTTTTGTCGAGGGCGAGATCAGCGATAGTAGTCTTTTCAGTTGCACAGGCAAATCTTTTCACGAACAAGGCCTCCAGCTCTGCAAAGGTCTTCAGTGAATCATTCGGTAGTTCGACATACCATTCGAAAGCAGTTCCACCCAAGCTGCTCATGAATTGCCTGAATAACAGAGCATCATTACCTCCTGTATTTCCACATGTTGCTTTGAACTGTGCCATGTGTTGTATGAGATTTTTATTGTGATCGAAGATATTGAACTTCGGCACAGAATATCCCTTTGGATATGGTACATAATCGTACTCTGCTGGGTACGGGCGACCTTTTCCTACCAACTTCTCTGCTTGTTCAACAGCTATAATGATTTTAATCTTTTCACTGATTAAGCCTTCCAACTGCGATGCAGTTACGGGTTCAGAGGCATTCGCCACATTTTGGGGAGTACGCTGGCAGGTTGGATCATCAGTTTCTTTGCCAATTTCAAGTACACCTTTCACTCCTGAATCTTGGGGATCTTGGAGATTTTGAGGATTTAAAGCTTGGTTGACGGGTTGAGCTAGTGCAGGGCCCACGGAAGTGGTCTTTTGCATCATTTCCATCATGGCCGTCATTTGAGTTATCATCTCAGTCATTTTATCATTTAACTGAGAGATTTCTCTGTCTTTCCTTCACATCTGTCGCCTCATTTGATTTTTCATTTCAGCGAGTGTGATATCTTCGCCAGCGAAGGGATTTTCTCCTACCTCTTCTTCTTCCTCATCTCCTTCTTCTGAGGAGCGAGCACTTTGGCTGGCAATGGATCTAGCCCTGTGGCGACGTTGATAGACACGTACACGCGGCTGTGATTGTTGGTCTTCTTCATCACCATCCTCATCTTCAACATCAATGTGGCTGATCATACGAACCACCTCGATCTCCATAGTATCATCATCGTCATATTCTTCTTCTTCTTCTTGAACCTGAATTTCTGAGCGGCGTCGCCATTGAATTTTAGGTTCTTGGCTTGGGATGATTATTTCTTCGATCCGTGGACTGCGATCGAAATGAACTTCTTCTCTAGTTAAAGTTGGAGAATGACGAGATCTCCTGGAAGACTCTCCAAGATGTCGACCATCCCTATGATTGTCGTCGTTATGGGCCTTCTTTTGGACCCATCTCTGACGAGTTTTGTTAGCAGGGGCGGATCTCCGGTAGACTGTTCCGGATGTCATGCTTGACTTATCTATTTCTTCAAAGACCTTTTCTTTTTGAGGCTTCGGCCTCCAAACTTGTTTGCCTTTCCGCTGGGCCCTTTCGGCGACGGATTCTTGGATACGGGGTCCAAGTGTCACGCCCCGATGTGCTTCCTGGGGAGCTTGTCGTCTATAACCTCTTCTTTTAGCCATCACTTTAGATGATAACCTCTCCCTTGGAGGGGTTCTTTTGGCCTCAACAATTAATGGCCTCTTGAACTTCTTTTTCATTAAGCCCTTCTCCTTAACTGTCTTCAGTACACGGTGTACCCGGGCAGACAGACGTTCGGGCTCTCTTATCTTCTGAGGGGTTGGAGTTTAGGTCGACACTCCCAAAAAAATTTCTTTAGCTCCCCAGTAGAGCTATTTCTTTTTATCCACTTCAGGTTAGAAAACCTGTTCTGAGTGGGAATATTGACTTCTGGTTCTTGTGCTGGCATGTTAGAGGGATGTGTTGGTACCGGCAGTTGCTTAGCACGTAGCTCTGTATTTCTCTTCCTCCTCTGCCTTTTATTAAGCCTTCCTCCATATGAGGAAGCATCAGCATCATACCTCCTGGATGCAACAGGCTCTCTGGGTAAGGCGGT